TAAAATTTGTTGTTATCTTTTTTAAAAAATATTATAATTAGAGTAGGTGTAGAGATTAAGATCTTTAAATAAGATTGTTAATACATTGATGCTCGAAATCAAAATATTCACTAAGTATACTAAAATTATTTTTCATGGTTAAAAAGAAAGAAAAAGGACTACAAAAATATGGGAAAATATCAATTTTAAGCATAAAGGTACTAAAGTTAGCAACCATTTTTAAAACTTTCAATTTTATCATGCACCATAAACTAATTAGGTAAGTATGGTAATATTTACATTAAATCTAACAAATATCATAACTTTTTGAAGATTAGTCGAGAAAAATATTCACGTGTACTGACAGCTAAATAAATTATAAAACATATATTTCTTATGAAATTGGTATAAATTTAGATAAAAATGATATTAGAACAAGTTTCGCTTGAAAAATATAGATTTGTTTAATAACTAATTAATTTTTTGTTTTATGTTTTTTAAAATAATTTTTGGAATCCTTAGCAAGGAAGTAAGTAAAATATAGTTTTTAAAAACAGTTTTCTTTTTTTTCAAAATCTTTTTTTTTTCATCTAATGCTCAAATTTTCTTCTCAGACATATTTTTTTCTGATAATCTTTTTCTCATTCTAAAATAATTTTCTAACTAAATTTCTCTCTCTACAAAATTTATTCTCTTTAAAATTTTCTTCAAATATTTCTCTCCCTTTTCAAAATTTTCATTTGTATATATTTATTTATTTTTCTTTTTTCTAACCTATCACTTTCTTTTTTATCTCTCCACAAATTTCATATTTTTCGAACTTTTTTATTCTCAAATGACTTTTCTTTCTCTTTCTAGTCTAGCTTTTTTATCTAAGAAATATATCTTCTACTTTTCTCACTCTAAATGTTTTATCGTTTAATTTTCTTTTACTTAATAACTTTTCTTTCTCTTTTTATTTATTTATTTTATGTTAACAAATATATTATAAATTTTTTCTTATCCAAATTTTGTTCTCACTATAATATTTCTTTCTATTCCTCCTTTATTTTCTTTCTTTAGCTCTCAACTTACTCTCCCTAGAATTTTCTATTTTTTGACTTTAACTTTTTTCTCACTAATTTTTTTCTAACTTTTCTCTAACTCTCTAAAATTTACTATTTCTAAAATTTCACTTTTAAAAGTTTTTTTTATCTCTCTAAATTTTTGTTTTCATATAGACCACTAAAATCCTCATAGGGTCGAGTTCTCGCTCTAAGAATAGAGAATGCATTCCCCATCATGTTCTGTCTCCGATTCCATTTTTAAAATAATTAATATATTTTTTATTAAATGTTTAACTAAATTATGAATAAATATCAAATATTTTTAAACTACTTATTTATACTATTAAATAATGATTTTTGAGTAAAATAATATAAATTATTTATCTTTATTACTTTTTATTTTCTAAATTTTAGAAAGAATTAGAATTAATTATTAAACCAATAATTTTTCTAGTGAAGACCTTCGTCTCCAAATGAGAATTTTTGAACCTAGACATCAATTCCTGAAATCGGAGAACAGGTTGGAGGTGAGAATTAAAAATTTTCATGGAACAGGGCATCCCGACTCCTACCCTACACCGTTGTCATTCTATTTTACATAAAATTTTCTAACTTTTAACATTTATTTTCGATTTTCTAACTTTTTAAAAACAGAAAACCAAAAATAATCATGAAACATATGTTTTGTTTTCCGTTTTTCAAAAAAATAAAAAACAAAAACAGTTATCAAACATATATGACTTTTATTTTTTTAAAAGAACTAAAACTAAAAACAAAAAAACACAAAAACCAAAACCTATATAGAAAAATAAATGGTTATCAAATGGCTCAAAATTAATAATTTTTAGAGTTTTTTTACATCACTTTTGTTAAAATTAGTGGGTGAATTAATAGAAATGAAATAAAGAGTAAAAATTACCACATTTATCTAAGTTTAGATTCTAATTAGATCACATTGAAAGTTTATTGTAAAAATTGATACCACTTGAGATTTTAGGAATAAAAATGGATTGTTTCTCTAAAAATATTTACACTATTATTTCTAAATTATTTATTATAAATTAGGCTATCTACTTTTTTTTTTTCTTTTCAATACGGATGCAAGTGGGAATGCAAGACTCGAAGCTTGAATATGTACACACTTTTGACCTAAAGATCCAAAGTGCTTTAACAACTCTCCTTCTACCTATATTCACTGTTAAATTTTTATCTTACAAATCACGATTCCCAAAAGAAAATAATTCACACTAACTTTTTACTTTTTACCACAGCTGATCAAGAAAATACTCCACCCCAGCCACGAAACCAAGTAGGTTAAAGAATACTCAAACTCCCTGATAAAATACCTAAATACTCATAGCTACTATAAATCTTCGAGAGTGATGACCTATTCAAGTTTATGATTCAATTGGATGAAATTAAGGCCCCGTTTCCTTACCCGTAATCATAATCAATGAATCGTAATGAAAATTTTGATTCCCTATTATGGTTGTTTATGCAAGGATATGCACAACAGTGTATTTCTGATTGCAGCTCGAACTCGGCCTCCGAACCGATCTGAATACTTGGGCGGACCTGCACAAAAGGTGAGCACTCCGACAATCAAGTCAGTATAGGTCGGATTCCCAGTTTAGTTCGAGGTCAGAAAATCATCGTACCTGATCGTGGAGTGAGGTCCTCTACTTATGGGTGGTAGTCTCGCTAATCTCGCGACGGTTACACCCGGTAATCTCGGGACCGACGGTTACACCCGATAATCACGCCGCTGACAGTAGCTCACATCGGCCCACACCGAGCTTCTCGGTAGATCGGACCTCGGCCAGGTTCACCTCGGCCCTCATACTTAGCATCTGTCAACACTAGTGGTGGTGATCTCGGCGGTCCGAGCTGGGGCATGACTCATGAGTCACCTTGGAGCACCAATGGCCGTCCTCCACGTGTCCAGGGTATTCTTTCCCCCAAACAATGGTGTTTACCAATTATAGGAATGTAATCAAATGGCGAGACCCACCTCAAACTTAATAATATGTTTTTATTAAAGTTTGGTTGTTCTAATAAAAAATATTTTATTTGATGTAATTTTATTTTAATTATTCATTATGTATTAATATTAGATAAATTGTTATAATAAGAAATATTTACTATCAATAATATAGTAATAAATTAAATTAAAATTTATTATTATTGTAATCTAAAAAATTAGTACAATAATATATTTGTAATTGGCTAAAAAGGAGAAAGAGATATATTAGTAATTGTCATATATCTCATTCCGATTCTGATTTCAGACAGTTTTAGTAAACAACATCAAAAGAATTTTGATTATGATTCCAGAAAATTTCTAGTAAACAATATCAATGGAATAACACATTACAATTCCGATTGATTTCATTACGATTGATTTTCATTACGATTGATTTCTATTACGATTGCGGTTAAGTAAACGTGGCCTAAGTCTAGGATTCTCAACCTGAGCATAGTTCAACTGTGTAAGGCACCTATCTCCGACCAAAAGGTCACGAGTTCAATCTTCGTGTTTACATTTGTATTTAAAAAATAATAAAAAAAAAAGTAAATTTAGGATTAGAATTGGCTCGCTAAGCTAAATATTAAGGTAGTAAAATAATTTTTTTTCCTCTTAAGGGATATAATTTATCCGTGAAACTTCCTAGTTTTCTATTACTCTCCATGTATGTAAAACTTTTATGAAGGACGAATAATAGAAAACATAACACAATCAAATTTTTTATTTTATTTTATTTTTAATTAACTATTAATTAATTATATTAACACGTGTAATAAATTTTAGGGAGAACATTTATAATTAATATTTGATATTATCTTAACTATTTAATATATTTTTATTATTAACTTAATAATTTATCATTGATATCTTATTTAATCTAAACTTATTTAATTATTTCTTACTCATTATATTAAATTATTTAGTATTAAATACTAATATTTTAATGTAAAGAATAATATATTTTTATTTTTATTTATTGATTAATTTTATTAATACAAAAATATATTAAATAATACTAACTTGAATTTATAATTACATTATTGTTTTCTCTTACCTCTAATTTACTCAATTAAATAAATGTAATTTCCATGAATAAAATCTGTTATTGAATTTTAAGACATTATTTATCTTGCAACACATAGATGATAATTAATATCCATATCTATAAAACAAAATCCTTCATCAAAATATCAATATGAACATAGTCCAACTAATTAAGACACCTATTTTCAATCAAAATATCCTAAGTTTGAATCCCGACCTCCACATATTGTATTAGTAAAGAAAAAAATCCAATGTCCAAATAGCTGTTAGAGATAATTTGTCTTACGTGTTGAGTTTATATTCTCTCCCCTTTTACACTCCAAATTCAAAATACCAATTAAGTTTGGGATGGCCCATCTTGACTTAGAAATCTTTTGCATTCATATCACACGTGGCAACAAATTAATGAGAAGAAATGTTATTGTATTATAAGTTACGGCTCCAAAAATACTATCTTTTAATTCATGGTAGAGATTTAAATCTTTGATCTTTTAGTCAAAGATGCATATCTTAACTAGTTAAATTATGTTTAGATTGATCCGGAATATACATATATATATATATATTTTGATTGAGAAGGGTAAAAAAGGAATATTCATGGAGTTAGGCGATATTGCTCTAAAATTCTGAAAAGTAATATAAAGAGAATAGAATTCACATACTTGTTTAACCACTGAAAACATTCCAAGTGGCAGTCAAAAGAGCAAGTTGGATGAAAATGGAAGTTTCTTAATCAAACCTCAACTTCTCCTCCCATGGGTTGAGAAGTTGACCGTGGAATAATAATCAACGATCATCATTTAACATCATCATCATAACTCCATACGAGTATTGACTGGTAAAACACCCACCTTTCAAAATTACCCAAAAACTAAAGATTCCCATTGAAATCCATTATATATTCTTCTTCTCCTCTCTCTCATCATCACACAAAATCATCTCTCTCGCTCTTTTTTCTCTCTTTCAATGGAAGAAGTTGCAGTTCCTCCTTATTTCATCTGCCCAATTTCACTGCAAATCATGAAAGATCCAGTCACGGCTGTCACCGGAATCACCTATGATCGTGAAAGTATTGAGCACTGGTTTTTGACGTCCAAAGATGCCATCTTTTGCCCTCTCACCAAGCAGCCATTGACGGAAGCTTCCGACTTGACGCCGAACCACACACTCCGCCGTCTGATCAAGTCTTGGCTGGCTGAGAACGCTGCCCCCGCCGAGAAAATTCTGACCCCTAAGCCGCCCCTCGACAAGGCCCGTCTCCGAAAACTCCTGCGGGGCCTCGCCACTGCCTCCGACGAGGCGCTCCGGTTCGATGTGGTGAAGAAGCTTGAAGGGCTTGCTAGCGAGGGCGACGCGAACCGACGATGTATGGAGGAGGCGGGGGTGGCGAAGGCGATGGTTTTGTTTGTTATGAGATGTTTTAGGGAAGGGAAAGTTGGGGGACTTGAGGAAGGTTTGAAGATTCTTAGTCTTCTTTCAAATTATCAAGTTTCTGAAATTAGGGTTTTTGACTCCCGCCATTATTATCAAGAGCTTATGGATTCTTTCATGTGGGTTTTTGGGTTGGAGATAGAAAATCATATCATTATCAAAAGCTATGCAATTGAAGTATTGAAGAAGGCAATCGATTTGGCTCCCTCAAGCATTGATCTCAGCCAAACGAAGCCTGAATTCTTCAAAAATATCACAAATCTCATGAAACAAAAGATCTCAAATTCCGCTCTCAAAACGACACTCGCAATCCTAATCAACTTATGCCCATGGGGACGCAACCGAATCAAGATCGTCGAAGCCGGGGCAGTTTTCGAGTTGATTGCGCTCGAGCTCGAGAAGCCGGAGAAGAACATAACCGAGCTAATCTTCAACCTCTTGGCCCTCCTATGCTCTACGGCAGACGGGCGAGCGGAGCTCCTCCGCCACGCTGGGGGCATCGCAGTGGTTTCAAAGCGAATACTTAGGATTTCAACAGCAACGAATGATCGGGCAATCCAAATTCTGTCGTTGATATCGAAACACTCGGCAAGGAAGGAAGTTCTTGTGGAGATGTTGAGGGTTGGAACTGTGTCAAAGCTTTGCATGGTGATGCAATCAGACTGTGAGGGATATTTGAAAGAGAAGGCTAGAGAGATAGTGAGGATGCATTCAAATGTGTGGAGGAATTCTCCATGTATTGGGGTTTATGTGATGACTAGAGACCCTAGATAGCTTGAAGAGAAAAGGAAGAAAAAATGGTATATGATTCCAAAATCTTGTAATTTTCTATCAATTTTCTTGAAAGATGAGTATAAAAAGTTCCCAAAGTTTTGATCCAAGTATATACTTTATTTTATATGAAATCATGTTACAACTTCTTTTACTATGATGATTGTGATGAGTGGTTTTGGTTTTGGTTTTGAATTTTAGTGGGATATTTGATTACAAGGATAGGTTTTGAGCAAGACCCATGAAAATATTAAAGCTTAGTTACATCATTAAACATCAATGGATGAGTGTAATGTATGTCAAAGCGTAATTGACATATATCTCATCCGATCTCACCCTCACATACTAAAATAAAAGTTTGATAAAAGTACTTATCAATAGATCAAGCGTCTAAGTTTAGCAAAACGTATGTACAGTCCGTCCAAACATAGTTGAAGTGAATATAGTATTAATATTCAGTTTTATCTCAAAACAATTGACAATGAGAGGAGTAACTCACTTATATTATAAATCCTTGTAAGTCACTTATGTTTTAACGTAAGATTCTTAACATGTCCCTCAAGATGGAGCCTCTTTTGGGTTCACTAGTCTTGACCGGATGCTCGTTTGAACTTTTTGGGCTTTGATATCATATTAATACTCACGAGGTTCCATCTCAAAACAAATTGGCATTAAGAAGAATAGTGCATGTCTATTATAGACCTTTTATAGGTCTCTTATCTGTTGAACGTGTGATCCTTAACTTATAGTCCTATTAACATTATTCTGAAGGCTGATTACTCGGTCCCCACTTCTACAATTTTCAAACTCAGAAAATAACTTTGAAATTTAGAGTTGAATTTCACCAAATTAATTACCAAGTCAAATGCAAGATTAAAAAGTA